AGGGGCCGGGCGGGTGGGGGCGGGGGTGGAAATGAACGCAAAAAACGAGTGCGTCCAAACTCTCGGACTGCAAGAAAAGACGAGGTGGAGGTACTTGAGCTAGCCCCCAAGACGCCCCAAGACGCCCCCGTGGATGTTTGCCACCAGCAGACACCAATAATCATTCGAAACAACAATCCAAACGCCCAGCTGATGTGAGAGCTTGAAGACTTGCCACCGTGAGCTTAACGCCGTTCGCTGTAGGGTTTTTTTCTACCCGGGTTTTCATGATATGTTTCGTGTTGCAGCCCTTGCTGATGGGCTCGCTTGGACCGTGTTGAAATCTTACCTTCGTGCTTTCCAGAACATGGGTATGCAACAAAGCTGCATGGTCAGCACCGGTTGAACCTGTCCGGTTCCTAACAGTTATTTACCTGAGTATCCACGCCGTCCGACTGTTTACCAAAGGCAAAGGGGGAGGGCACAAGCCTCGGCCGAGGTCTGCCTGGGTACTTCCAGATGGTTGGGCGGCATACTCAACGCCGCAGGGACACATCTTCTACTACCATCACGGTTCGGGCTCCCAGTCCACCCAGAGGTACAAGACACATGTTTTTGGATATCTGAGGCACAGGGATATCTCAGTGGGAAAGGCCCGCCGCTTGAAAAAAATGGGATTGCAGCTATGCCGCGGTTCGTGGCCTTTCATAATCCCCTGCCCCGAATGAAACATGATGTGTCGCATTGGCTCAGTCTTCATGCTTGATGCCCGAACGACAGATCCCTAGCCGGGACCTGGCATGCCAGCATCTCTTTAAGGAGGCAGCCCTGACACGAACTGGAGAGGAAACTCCTCCAAGAGGCAATCTACATAGTGAGGAAATGCTGCGTCGCAATGCGCGGCTTCGCAAGGAATATCTCTACAAGAAGGCTGGCAAGAGGCGCGGGCGCGCGACGCGAGAGTCCGGTGCCGACAACGCCAAGGCCTTGGAAGACAAGGAGGCCACGACCTTCGAGAAGAAGCGCAAGCTCCAAGAGGCCGCTTGGGAGATCAGGAGCTTCAGCTCCGAAGCCCTGGCCCTAATCGCAAAACGGCAGAAAACTTATAAGGGCTTCTTGTCAAACTCCGACACATGCCATATGATAACCCAAGCACGCCAAAACTGCAAAAAAACACAGCACGAAAAGGTCTCCCGGAACCCAAATTCCCAACCCTGCCATCCAAACAGCACCGAAGACTTTGAACCCCAAAACCAACAGCCCTAAAACTTCACGCCTCAGACCCTAAACTCGAACTTCAATGACTAGAAGCAGAAACCATAATTCTAAACCCTGAGTAACAAACAAGCCCTGCAACAATCGAAACCCTGACAAACCCTTTGAAGAACCCTTGACAACAAGCAGGAAAAAGCAAGCCTAAACCGGATAAACATCGATAAGCAGGTTCCGAGGTCATCGCTTCAGTTTCAGCTTTTGCCCCGGCTCGAGTTGCAAGCGCATGGTGACATGCCCGGCCATAAGCTGATCGCCGGATCCGTGCTTAAGCCTTAAGCATCGTCGCGCCATCACAGAGTCCAACCACGCACCGGGAGCGAAGCGAAGCGGCGAAGCGGCGAAGGAAGGAGATGGAAACGGAGAGCCCCCTCTTCCCTCTTTGGAGTTCTGCTTTGGAGGGAAGGAACTTCGACTTGCTGCTCTGCAACATCCACTAGAGGGTTTCAACCCACAATACGCATGTATATCGAAGACGCCTGCGGCGGAACAACGGCCGCTCCCAAATCAGGGGCTGAAACCGCATTAGTTGGAAGCGTTTGCATTTCGTAGTGTTAGTTTTTTTTGGTGGTATCGCGCCCTATGCCCGATCTTGTTTACAGGCAACGCCAGAACCTGCGATATGCGCGTCTTCTCAGGAAGTAATGTCCGATGCCTGGTTGCGGACGCGTTAGTGACAAGCGTTTTCATTCCGTAGTCTTGGTTGTACGATTATACTGCGTCCCATGCGCGAACTCGTTTACACAGAACGCCAGGATGCGACATGCCTCTCCTTGCAATCTAGCGCATTTTCCTTTTGACCCAACGACAAGAACACAAGTGGAAGAAAGCACGAAGCCCTTCACATTTACAGGGGTCGTGCCCTGCGAGCAGCACGTTTAGACCGTCCCGAGCAGGCCCAGACATAGCAAAAGTTCTCGAGTCAGAGGCGGGGGAGGGGGGGGGGGCCTGCGGCGCCAATAGGGAACGTGAGCTGGATGTAAATCGTCGCAGGGGCCTGCGGCGCCAATAAGGAACGTGAGCTGGGTTCAAAGCGTCGCGGGGGCGGCGCCAACGTGAACATGAGCTGGGTTCAGACCGTCCCGGGGCCTGCGGCGCCAATGGGGAACGTGGGCTGGGTTTAGACCGTGCCGGGGGACGGGCCAAAAAGGGGAAAGGGCTTGCTAGATTTGATTGTCAGTACGATTACAAACTGTGAAAACATGGCCGTGTTAGAGCCCTTATCGGTTGGTTCAGGGGGCTAAGGGGGTCAAAGAGGTTACAGCGGTTCTTCAAGGATTAAGGCCAAGGTTGGGGTTAACCTCATTACCCCCCTTAACTACCTGAACCCTTAACCCGTTAACCCCCTGAACCCCAACCTTTAACCCCTAACCCCCTTAGCCCCAATCCCCCCCGCCTCCGGGAGATGGTCGCAAGGCCGATGCTTATAAAAGGAATTGGTGGATAATTGACACAACACAGGGAAACTTACCAGGTCCAGACATAGTAGGGGTTGACTGAATTGACGCAGCACGGTGAAACTTACGAAAATTACCAGGTCCAGACATATTATAAGGAGGGTTAAGGGTTTGGGTAGGGCCGGGTAGGGGTAGTTGGGGTAGTTAACGGGGGTGGGGTTAAGGGGGTTGAGAGGTTTGAGGTGTTACGGGGGTTACATGTTTAAGGCCCTTAGCCCCCTCAACCCCCTTAACCCATGTATAGATATGTAGATATGTAGTGACGGAGTTGAGGGAGTTAAGGGGGCTAAGGGGGTTAAGGAGGTTAAAGGCGTCACGAATAAGAAGAGGAGGCGGTTAGGTCGTTAGGGGTTTAGGATGTTAGAGTTCAGGGTGTTAGGGCGTTAGGGCGCGAAAGCTATAGGGCGTCAAGGTGTTAAGGGTTTAGGGCCAGTTTAGGGTGTTAGGATGTGTTAGGGCGTGGGGTCTTGGGTTGTGAGGGTCTGGGGTGTGTTAGGCTGTTAGGGTGTAAAGACCCTAAAGACCCGAAACCCCTGACCACGACCCTAAAGACGCTAAAGGCCCTAAAACTCTAGGAAGCTAAGACCTTGAAAACCATAAAGACCCTCCAGACCCTAAAGACACCAAAACCCTAAGATCCTAAAGACCCCAAAACTCTAAGAACCTAAAACCTCAAGACGCTGAAGACCCTAAAGCCCTAAGCTCCTAAGACCCTAAAACTCTACGAACCTAAGACCATGAAAGCCTTAAAGACCCTAAAACCGTAAGGCACTAAAACTCTACGAACCTAAAAGACCCTAAAGACCTTAAAAACTCGAACAGCCTAAAACTCTAGGAGCTTGAAGGCACCTTAGGAGCGCCTCTTCAACCCCCTTAACCCCGCTTAAAACGCCATAACACCCTCCCCCCTCCCCCAGCGCGAGCATCATGAGCATCAGCGGGAGGCCTCGGGATGGCACCCCAAGCATCAGGAGCGGCTCCCAGAGCATCATCCGGGAGCTCGCTTTTCCCAAATGGGCCTTTCAGCACAAAACACTGTTTTTCCAAATCTTCCTTACCTTAACCCATCCCCGCCAACCCACCCCAAAACTCACCCAAGCCCCACCACCCCGCCAGATGATGCGCATGATGCTCGCCGAGGGGGCGCCCAAGAGGGCACAAGAGGCGCTCCAAGCGCCGACAATAGCGGCCTTGGTGGGCACAAACGCCACCAGACGCGTGCTGCCCGCAAACCACGATACCGCTGTAAATGCCAGCGATTTCGTGGTTTGCGACCAGCAGGAAGACCCACCAGGGAGACCCAACACCCATCAACAAAAACAACAATTCAAAGCATGTCTAACATCAACCAACAACCACCCAAGCAAGAGGGGGGAGGGAGGGGGGCCGGAGCCGGCAGGATACTGGGTTTTCGAAAACATAAGGACAAACTGTTTGTTTTTTGATTTAAAATATTTGTTTGGGACGTTTTCAGTTTAGCATCCTTACATTTTAATTGCCATTTGTGATAGGGCACAATGGTTGAAAATCAGGGAAGGAGCCAGTTGCAGGGGAAACATCGTTTTTGATGCGAACCCTGAACGCAGGCAGATGGTAGCTTACTGTGGATGTATAATACTAGTGGCATGTCTTCTCTTTTGAAGTACAGGCCTTGGACAGCCAGAAGCCGATCCCCACAGAATTGCGTGGAGAGGACAGGAAGCTCCGCAAGGCATGGGATTGGCGGAAATCTTCAGGGTCCGGTCTCGGCCTGCAGCGACAGGTCTTGGACTTGGCGGACGACCGGACGAAGGACCAGCGCAAAACCATGGACGACGAATATGCTTACCTCGGCGTCAAGGACCCAAAGGCGGGGTGTGAAATTATTCCGCATGCATTTCGGAGGCACGAACTCACCCAATGAAAGGTGCTGGTCACCACCTCACGAGATCCGTCCTCACGCTTGAGCCAATTCCTGAAAGAGCTCCGGATGTTGCCCCTCGGATTCGATCAATAAGTTACAAATAGGTCAGAAGACGCAGTGGCTTGACGGGTTCTGCCGGGCGCATGCCGAGGTTCCCCGGAGCGCAGCGAATGAATCGCGGCAGCTATGTCGTGAAGGACGAGGGTTTTCCCCATTATCATTGCCTGTGCTAGGCGGTACCTTGCCGGAGGACCTAATGCAGCTGGCCCGGTCGCACGAGATGACGGATGTCGGCCCACGGACCGTTGCTGACTAGTTAGGTATTGTTGCAGAAGCGGACAGGTGATCTTGGTGCACGAACACCGTGGCGAGCCCGACGGTATGGTCGTTTGCCACCTACCCTTCGGGCCCACGGCCTACTTCGGTCGGGGTTCCAAGGCCAAACGCAGCTTGATGCGAGTGCTGTGGCCATGTAGAGTCCGCAGGTTTGTCCAACGTGGTGCTGCGCCACGACCTCGCTGAGAAGCCACCGGCCATGTCTGAGGTTCCAGTGACGAGATCTTCTCAGCGCAAGCGCGCACTTCTTCAAGTCCTTTTTCGTGAGGCCAGCCCGCACCTTGTCTTCCATGGCTTCACAGCCAAGACTGGGCTCCGGGTGAAGACGATTCTACAGGCGGCTTTTCAAGACTCAGCCGCCTCGATAAAACCGCTGCTTGCTCGAAGGCACTCTTCCCTCCGGCAAAACAAGCCGGTGACAGGGTCATGACCTTTGCGAACCGTGCCTTGTCCTGGCATTCCAGTGCATCGCGCACACTGTTATGGCAGATTCTGTTCGCTGCGCTGATCCGAGACCACGATGTGATCCATTTTCGGCACCACAGCTTTGCAAGGCAAGGTGCTTTTTCGGAGAAGAATTGGGAAGTAAGTGGAAGCCGACGGCTGTTTGGGAGGCCAAAGGGTCCAGGTGGCGAAAGCCATCGCTCCCGGGTGCCAAGCCAAATCCAAGGGCAGGGCCAAATGCGCAGAAGTGTGCGCAAAGCGTTACGCCGTTACACATTTCCCTCCGAGGCGAAGAACGTGGCTCTAACAGAGAATGGGCCCCGATTCCAGATGAGGTGCAGAACTTCGCGGCCCGGAGCTGACGTTCGAGTGATGCCGGCGTTCAGGCTCTTTCGTGTGGAGCTTGGGACGATCGACATGAAGGATGTCGAGGCTCGTGCGCCGATTCTTTTACAGGACCATCTCGAGCAGTGCAGGTGGAATGGGTCCTCCGACCTTACTTCAACCGACAGAAGGAAGCTTTGGCTTTGGAGGACTGTCTCTCTCTCTCTCTCTCTCTCTCACTCTCTCTGCCGTTCCCCGCTGGAGTCGACGTCTCACCCGACTCAGGAAGAGGAGCCCAAGACCTGAGCGCCCCCCGCGATCTGTCTCACCCGCACCACAGAGGCGTGGCATGCGCAATCATGCGCAACTCAATTGCCAGAGCTTCTCGACGAAACGCGTCCGCGTGTGGGGGCCAGCAGCCAGCAGCCGCCAACAACCGCTTTTCGCCACAGTCTCAACCATGTGAACCTGAGCGTGCTTCCGGATGTTGGAGATCCCTGGCCCGAGAGTGGCCCAGCTGGGGGACATGTCATGGCGCGGCGAGGAGATGCGATGTGACGTTGCTCTTTCTTGACTCGGTCGTTTCCGCATCGAGGAGGCTCTCATGCCTTATGTGCAGACGTCGCAGGAAGGCCGGGTAGCCGGGTAGCCATAGCTTTGCCGTAGCCGTAGTCGCCCAGTCTGGGCGCCGTTTTAAGGTCTCCGCTGTGATGATTGAACCCAACGGCGTGCTGCCGGTGAGAGACTGACCGCAGAGACAGGAGAAAGAACAGCTGGAGTTGTCTCTTCCTTGAGACTCGCCCTGAGGAAGTGGGAGAAGGCGGAGAGAGCGTCGAGCTTGCGCGGCAAAGCGAGGCCGAGAGCTCGTCATGTTGGCTTCGCGAGCATGGCCTTTCTGCTTTCCTTTCCTTGGTTCTGCAGGCGCACATCGGGCCTGCGCCCAAGTTCTCCACCAGTGACCACTGACCACTCCCTGCAAGATTGCAGACTGATGCAGACTGCAACGCCTCAGGTGCGGTTTCCTGCCGCCCGGAGCTCTTTTCGCCTTCGTGAGCCTGCCAGCAACAGCTCTGTTCAGTGCTGCAGGTATTTCCTGCTCTGTCTCCTAGTCGCAGGGCTGCCGTGTGCGGCCTCCGTTGTTCTTTGGTCCGACCTGGGCCACGACCGAAGAAGCCATCGAAACTTCATGTCGCTTGGATCTGGGCCGGGCGGCCAAGGCTTTGGCCAGGAGGTGTACACTTACTTCTTTGGTGGCACAGCGCCGTGACGGCACAACACCGCTTGCAGATGTGACTTCAGCGGAAGGCAGAGATTCTGCCCAGGAGCACGGGGCGATCTATGCTGGACTGGCAGTGCTGCTGCTGCTGTGCCTGTCCGACGCCTTGGCTGCCTATGGCGGCCTTTCTGCTCTTCAAGCCGAGCTATACCGAGCTTCAGGTACCTATTGGACTTCTTTTGGCCCCCTCACCTGGAAGGCGCGAGTTGACGCAGAGGTGGGAAATGACGGCGACCTGAGTGCAGGCCAATACTTCGTCCTCTGCGACAAGGATCGTGACCCTTTGCGTTCTGCTGTGTTGCTTGCATCCACGAACTGCGGCTGTAAGGACATGTTTGTTGGGAGGGCCATTGTGGGCATCGCGGGTATGCTGCCCGGAGCTGAGCCATCTGCATGAACGGGAAGTCGTTGGGCGGACGCTCCTTGGCGGCCCGGGTCTATGTGTGGCCGAAAGGTTGTTCGCCGCAGCATTAAATCTGGCAGAGGTGCCTTTGAAAGCGTGCACCGCGTGAGTGCGAGTCGGTCGCATGGCTTCAGAGACCCTGCTTCTCAGACGTATCCAGCCGTGCCCATCCAGTGCACGGCACCGCGCTCAGAGCTGAGAAGCCGCTGTGAGATCCTGTTTTTGTCCACTTACGAGGTTCTGCTGGGCCCATTACTGACCACGGTTGTGCCGTTGCCTCTCTCCGCGTCTTCCAGCCCGGAAACTTTTGCTTCTGCGTTCACAGGCGGGCCTTGACGCGGCCTTTGCCAGAGGAGCCAGAGCCTGTCTTCAACCAAGCCCAGGGCTGAGTGGAGCTGAAGCGAAAACGTGGGCTTTTCTTCGGATTGAAACTGTAAAGAACAACTTGAGAGTGTGGGAACGAGCCGGTCGCTGCGATCCGGCCTTGAGACCCTGCGAGATAGAGCAGGCATAGAGTGCCACGGAGTCTGATGCTTCTTGTACTGTAGGTCTCGATAGAATCCGATAGAAAGCTCTTTCTGAGAAGTGGGTTATCCCATCCGCAGAGATGGTATCCTGAATCCACCCGCGGACTAATGCATCAAGTGTGAAGATTTTGGGACCCAGCCGCAAAGCCAATAAGTTGACAGGGAGTACGCTGAAGAACCTTGGGCGGGGTGGTGACAAGCTATTTAGAAAGACTACTTTTTCTCGCGCGATGCAACTGCGATCTGAAGAAGTGCCAACTTCTCCAACCAAGGTAGGGCACGTGCACAGCATGAGGATGCTGAAGATGCAGCCGGGCCAACCCTCTCTGCTTGCGTCCTGTGAGCCATTTCATTGCCAGACAGGCGCTACGTTGGTTCGGAGAGGGATGCTACAGCATTCTATGCTGGTAGCATGACGGCTTTTTTTCTGTCCCGGGACCCAGCTCTAAACCACAGTTGCGACAACGGCTGGTGTTTTTCTTCGGGGGCCCAGCCTAGGCTTGGAATTCTGACCTTGGCCGTCTGGTTGGTGCTCTGGCCTCAGCCTGCCAAGGAACCGAGTGTTTGGGCAGTGCTCGGATGTCAGGTGGGCGCTCAACGAGAATATCGATTTCAGTGACATCACTTTCGGTGACGCCGAGTCGGCCCGCACTCCCAGCTCCCAGCTTCACGTCGCGACGAGGGTTTACATAAACTTGCCTGTGCCTGCATGCTGATAGAGGATTCATCAAGCCAACCACCGCGAACCCGAACCCCAACCCCAACCGCAACCGCAATCGCAATCGCAATGCCAACGCCAACAGCCGCTGCAGCCGCAGCAGCAGCCGGTGCAGCAGCAGCAACAATAGCAACAACAAGAACAACAACAACTACTACTACTGCTACTACTACTACTACTACTACTACTACTACTACTACTACCACTACTACTACTGCTACTACCACTACTTCTACTACTACTACTACTACTACTACTACTACTACTACTACTACTACTCCTGCTACCACTACTACTACTACTACTACTACTACTACTACTACTACCACTACTACTACTACTTCTACTACTACTACTACTGCTACTACTACTACCTACTACTACTACTACTACTACTACTACTACTACTACTACTACTACTACTACTACTACTACTACTACTACTACTACTACTACTAGACTACTACTACTACTACTACTACTACTACTACTACTACTACTACTACTACTACTACTACTACTACTACTACTACTACTACTACTACTACTACTACTACTACTACTACTACTACTACTACTACTACTACTACTACTAGGCTTGCGCGCCTCCTGGCGCCCGGTAGTTTGCAGGTGTTAGAGGATCAAAAGTACAGTTTTTTTTTTACAGGGCTTTGTGAAAATTGCAGTTAAGTTACGTTTTCAAAAACTACTTTGATTTACTAATAATTACACCGTTGGGTGACGATGATGATGCTAGTGATGCTAATGATGATGATGATGATGAAGAAGAAGAAGATGCTGAGAATGACAACGATGTGCATGTTCTTGGAAGCCAATAGTAGGACTGAGGACTACGGCCACTAGTGCTACGGCTTCTGGTAGTGGTACTGCTAGTAGGACTCCTAGTAGGACTGGTACTATAGTACCTAGTAGTACTGTAGTAGTGCTACTATTAGTGCCACTGGTACTGGTACTGCTACTGCCACTGGTGCTGGTACTGCTACCCTTAGTGCTACCGCTACTGCCACTGCCACTGCTACTGCCAACACACGAAAATCGAGCCACTGTGCGGGCCCCCCCCCCCCCCGCTTCACGACCCCCGCACCAGTGGAAGAAAATCCTTCGACAACACACGAAAATCGAGCCACACCGTGGGGATTGCGAAACCGGCAAAAGTTGCTGTGAAGCATGTCGTGATTGACACCCCCGCCATGCCCTCCCCTCCCAGTCGAACAAAAAAGCCCCTGTAAAACGCTCCAAAGTACCGGCACTGCCAGTGTTTTTGGCAACAAAAAGACCATTGCGGTCGACCATGTCGTTATTAATCCCCCCTCCCACCCACCCAAAACCTCCCCGAAACGCTTGAAAACAAAGGAAAACACCAGGCGCCAGGAGGCGCGCATGGCTACTACTACTACCAATACTACTACAAGTACGTGACATTCAGTACAGCTACCGAACAGATTTGCTTCAAGCGAAAAACACACACGTGTGGTACACATCAGGTCACCAGAGACTGTGGTCGTGACCCCACAGACCACAGACTTTGCCACTGCCGCACCGCCGCACCCACACGTACGCTGAGAGCTCCAAACCAGACCCGCCGGCTGACGACGGCTGCACTGAGACGGAATGGAAGTGGTTCTGCGACACCGCGGAGCATCCTTGTCGTCATGCTTCCAGACGGTACGGTCGGATCCACGACCCCTCGCATCGCAGAATGAAGGGCACATGCTTCAGCACGGTCGCGTGCAGCGCCACCCATCGGGAGGGGCTGAGGCCCACTCCTTTCTCATGCGCCGACTGCTCAAATTGCAAGGCAGGATTCGAGACTTGCAGCGCCAAGAGCGCCTTGGAGCGGCAACTGAACATCTGAAGGCTCGGGTTTTGAGTACTTGGATTGGCAACTGCGGTGAGCTCCCCAGAGCCCCTCCGATGCCGAAGCTCTTGTTACTGAGGCCATATCTACTGCTCAAACCTGCCAGGCTAGGACAGCCGTCCACCGGTGGCAGCGCCAGATGGCTGCAAGGGGCAAAAAGGCCACAAGGTGGCTGAAGGGCAAACAACGACGCATGACCAGCGTCAAGGCACCGGGGGCTGGACAGCCCACTGAGGCGCTCCACCACGGCGAGCCTCGAACACCGGGCATTCTGACAGCGCATCTGGGACAGGCCTGTCGTCAACAGGCGGGCCGCTGTGCAGAAGTGGCGTGAACACGGCTGCTCCCGACCATGCAGCTTCCAGCCTAACCAAGTCTGGAGTGCCGAGGCCTTCCACGAAATCGGATTGACTAAGGCCTGCTCTGCGCCAGGCGTGGACGGCTGGCGAGGGGACGAAATCAAGTACTGGCCTCGTCAAGCTTGGGTCGTCTACTCAGAGTTGCTGTGCAAGTGGTTGGCCCGTGGCTCCTACCCACGGGCTTGGCAGGAGATGCGACAGGTTCAGTTGCCCAAAGCTTCTACCAAGGAGCTTTCAGGCGATGTTTCGGCTGCCGATCTACGACCGATCGTTGTCATCTCGATCTTGTGGCGAGTCGCTTCCTCGGCCGTCGGCAGCTGTCCGCAAGTCCGCAAATTCAAGCCCCCGACCAATACGGTGGGGTGCAGGCGGCATATCCACCATGGACTCAGTAAGATTGCTGGACCCCAGGCCCAGGGAACCCCAGTAGTCAGCTTGGATTATGCCAAATGCCTTGATCGGGTGGATCCCAAGTTGGCATGTGATCTGATGGCAGCGGCCGGCCTTCCGGCCCAAGTCGTACACATGCTCCGGCACACCTGGGAGCAGGCGCACTACTTAGAACTTAACAATACTTAACGGCTGCGTCCAATCTCATGGCCATCAAGTGAGCTCATCGCTCCCGCAGGGAGACGGGCTGGAACCACTCGCGCTCAATGTGATGCTTTCGGCGCCTGTGGTCAGTAGCTTCGGTAGCGGTCTGCGCCAGAGTGTCTTCCTGGACGACAGGGCCTTCGCCGTGGAGCAGGTCGTCGCTAGGGCACTCGATGTCTGGCGGTTGTGGTCTCAAGTTCTAGGGATTGAGGAGAACGATGGCAAGCGGGCCATTGTTTGCAGCCGCCCAAGCACAGCTGACGCCATTCTCCAGCATATGGTCTGGACTCCTGGCTCAAACAACAGGTGCGCATCTTGGGAGTTGACTTCACTGTCAGTTCGGAGACTTTGAAGCTCTCTTTGGCGGCACGCGTTGAGGAGGACATGAGGATCGGCAAACGCCTGCTTACCAAAGGCATCGCTCTGGATGTCCGGCGGGACTTGTGGCGCACTAGGGTCTTGCCGCTCGTCACCTGGGGCCATCCTTTTGACCCGCCTCGGCATGAAGATGTCAAGCAGTTGCAGAAGCTGGGCACGTCTGTGGCCTACCTTCACCGTGCGGCGGGTGTCCACCTCCGTCGGTTGCTCGAGGGCCACAACATGGACATGATGTTCCAGTCAGGCATGTCATGCCTGCCGGGCTCTGCTTGCGAGTGGAAGCTGGAACGACGTTGCCAGGACTCGAGGACCGGGCACGTGGTTGGAAAGCGTCTCAGGCTTTTTGCAGGACAGGGCTGTGCTACGGAGCAGGCCAGGATTGATTATGCTCAGGGCAATTTGAGCACCGTTGCTCACAGCATCCGAGCTGAATGGCGAGGCCAGCTGCTTTGCCGTTTCCGCGAGTCTGGGCGAAGGGACTCCTCTCAGCTGCAGGGATGGCACCCAGGCGCCAATTGCATGTGCATGGCCATCCGGTTGCACCAGGAGGCGCCGGCTGAAGGCAACGCGGTCACGTCTGGGTTGCAGCACTGCCTACTACGACATGCGGCGGACCGGTGGCGACGACCCAGCATGCCGCTGGTGCAATGAGGCCGTCGTTGCTGACTGGCATGGCGCTGCCCTGCTATGCCGGGCAGCGGGCAGAGGCCGCCTGGCCCGCCTGACCCGGCGGCTCGCCGCCTTGGCTGGCCCGCTGTGTGAAAGGCAATGTAGCGTAAACGGAAGCGTGCTTTTTCTTTCTAATGTAACACAAGCCCCGAACGAAATGAGACGGGAACAAAGGGTAAAATCAATAAACGAAAAACAAGCAGAGCGAAGTGAAGCGCGTGTTTTCATGAATAATTCAGCCCTTTGGAATGAAGCGGAAACAAAGCCACGTCTAAATCCACGCATTCATTTACATTCCATTGAAATTTAGCTGTGTCTTTCGTTCCCTTCATTGGCTGTTACTCCTAGAGACAGAGGTTGGGTGTGTTTATTTGAAGAAGTGAAAAGGTAAGAAATGAACTCAGTGAGTGACGCACGCTTTGCCTTCATCAAACCAACCACCCCGAACCCGAACCCCAACCCCAACCGCAGCCGCAATCGCAATCGCTACGCCAATGCATCAACAGCCGCGGCAGCAGCAGCAGCAGCAGCAGCAGCCGGTGCAGCAGCAGCAGCCGGTGCAGCAGCAGCAGCCGGTGCAGCAGCAGCAGCAGCAGCCCTTGCAGCAGCAGCAGCAACAAGAGCAACAACAGCAACTACTACTGCTACTACTACTACTACTACTGCTACTACTACTACTACTGCTACTACTGCTACTACTACTGCTACTGCTACTGCTACTGCTACTGCTACTGCTACTGCTGCTGCTGCTGCTACTGCTACTGCTACTGCTACTGCTACTGCTACTGCTACTGCTACTGCTACTGCTACTGCTACTGGCTACTTGCTACTGCTACTGCTACTGCTACTGCCACTACTACTATTATTGTTATTATTATTATTACTACTACTACTACTGCTACTGCTACTGCTACTGCTACTACTGCTCCTGCTACTACTGCTCCTGCTACTACTACTTCTACTACTACTACTACTACTACTACTACTACTACTACTACTACTACTACTGCTACTGCTACTGCTACTGCTACTGCTACTGCTACTGCTACTGCTATTGCTGCTGCTACTGCTACTGCTATTGCTACTGCTACTGCTACTGCTACTGCTACTGCTACTGCTACTGCTACTGCTACTGCTACTGCTACTGCTACTGCTACTGCTACTGGCTACTGGCTACTGGCTACTGGCTACTGGCTACTGCTACTGCTACTGCTACAGCTACTACTACTACTATTTATTACTACTACTACTCCTACTGCTACTGCTACTGCTACTGCTACTGCTACTGCTACTGCTACTGCTACTGCTACTGCTACTGCTACTACTGCTCCTGCTCCTGCTACTGCTACTGCTACTGCTACTGCTACTGCTACTGCTACTGCTGCTACTACTATTATTATTATTATTACTACTACTACTACTACTACTATTATACTACTACTACTACTACTGCTACTGCTTACTGCTACTGCTACTGCTATGCCTGCTACTGCTGCTGCTCCTGCTCCTGCTCCTGCTCCTGCTTCCTGCTCCTGCTGCTCCTGCTCCTGCTCCTGCTCCTGCGCTCTGCTCCTGCTCCTGCTCCTGCTACTGCTACTGCTACTGCTACTGCTACTGCTACTGCTACTGCTACTGCTACTGCTACTGCTGCTGCTGCTACTGCTGCTGCTGCTGCTGCTACTGCTACTGCTACTGCTACTGCTACTGCTATTGCGACTGCGACTGCGACTGCGACTGCGACTGCTACTGCTACTGCTGCTGGTGCTGCTGCTGCTACTGCTACTGCTGCTGCTTTCTTCCGAACGCAGCAAGAGGTCTCGCTTGGCGGTCAAAGTTCTGGGGCAGGATCTGCATACCGGCGCTTTCGCGCACTCCACCTTCTGTGAAGTCCAAAATGTTCCACGACGCTCTCCCGGCCCGAGGGCCCCAAAGAAGAGAGCGCCGATGTCTGTAAAGAGAACCGGAAGTGGTTTACACCTAACTACACACTAACAGCTCGTGGGTGAAAGAGATGTCCTGAGATAGTGTGGTTCGGCATCGGCACAGACTAGGGCACTTATAACCCAAATTAGGGACTAAAGGCGGGGCAGTGCACATACAGAAAGGAATAACAGTTGGTATGGACATGTGTCAATTGTGCCTCGCTGCAAATGCGGCTTGCAGGTGCGGCATCATGCGTGATAAGCTGCATGTTGGTGTCATACAGCACCGCCCTATAGTGCCCCGAGCTCGCATCGGAGCCCTCATGCATCAATGCTGCTGCAAGACGGAAGGAGATCAGCTCGACTTCCAGAGCATTGGGCTGCTGCAGATCATTAAGGAACTTTGGGATTAATTACAACACACTGCTCAGGAACTAAGCGGGCAAAGGTTTTGCCTAGGTTGTCGCGGCTTCCTATTCCAAAACGATTGACCTGCAACAGCAAGACGGGCGGAACGCTAGGCAAGCCTTGCCTTCCCTCCTGATGCTGGTGCCATGCATCGACTAGGCTTTGAAGACTGGTGTGGGGTTGTGCAACAGCGGAGCTAATGGGTCTGGTAACCACAGAGGCCAGGTGTTACCTTCTTCGATTTTGAGGATGTGCTGATTCTGCTCAAGTCGTGACTCCCAGTGGCATTCAACAGCATCGGTAAGCAACGGCGGCCGGAGGAACCGAAGATAATCAACGATATCATGTTGCAGTGCAGGGGATTGCCAGCCTATATGTATGGTTCGCCAAGGGATTTGCTGCCAGAGATGAATAAAGTTAGGGGAGGCCTTGCCCAGTTTGGGTAATAATGCCACCGCCAACCCATTAGATGATCATTCCTATACTCCCCACTACACTTCACCGATATATCACTACTACTTCCCCATTATAATCCTTCCCCCCTACACTCCACCCATATATCACTACTACTTCCCCATTATCAATACAAGTATATGGATAACCAATTACCCCATTCATATTTTCTATGAAGGTGGCATTATCACTCAAAAGGGGCAAGGCCTCCTTCGTAGAATTTGGTTCAGGGTTTAGGGTTAAGGGTTTCCTCTCCCAGACGGCAGTTCCGTGAGCTACCACGACTTCCAGCAGTGCTTCGGCGAGTTCCCAACAGGACTGGTGCTTTGGGTTTAGGTTTAGGGTTTAGTGTTAGGGTTTCTTGTTTTGTCTGCGTGAGATCAGCTGACATTGAGTTACGCGATGCACCGGCCAAGAGCAAACTTTGCTTCATTTCATAAGCCTTTTCATATATTCAAGAGATCATTCTGTGTGCTTCCAAACAATGACCGAGAAAGACTACGACATCCGCTATCTTCAGACGGATGATCCGAAAGAGTCGCACGATCACGCGGTTCAGAAAGCGAAGGATGCGATCGACAAGATGCAAGGCAAGATGGCACATCGGTGGAACAAAACGTTTCGTGAAAAGAGATGCATGACGAAGATCATGCATATGGCCAATCCGTATCACTACTACTTCAACCAGCATCACGAGATCTTGAAATACAACTACTTCTGTTTTCCTCCTCTGGATGAGTGAGATGTAAAAAAGTTTTAATAGGCTTTTAGGCACAGCGCCGGTCTAGCAGGATCTTGAGAGCAACAAATGCTCCAGCGCAAGCCAGTGTCAGGACAGTGACACAGGTGACCCACTTCAGTTGTAATAAAATTCACGTGCGTTCTTGGCGCTTCTGTTGTCAGCTTGATGGTGCTTGAGTGCAACCTGAAGCAAAAGCAAAACCTTGATCATCCTGTAGCCGTTTCTTGACCCGAAGTCTTGTGCACAGTGTTGCCTTCACACGTGATGGAGCAATCGCCCAGTTCGTCCCAAGCCCCCGCTTTGGGATCAATGACTGTTGCACAGTTGCAGTCAGCCATCTTGCAAAAAGAGATGGAACTGAAGGCGATGAAGAAGCAACTCTCCGAGACAAAGCGCAACAGTGACTTGATCATCAGCTTGACGTTGTTGTCAGGTGACTCTGCGCCACTCACGGTGAACCCGAAAACAACAGTCAAGCAGACCAAAGTCAAGATCATTGAACAGCTCAACTGGGGAGAGGATCCTATTGACATTGAGCTGATCTACAACGCGGTTCGTCTCAAGAACAACACGACGACCAACGGGTGTGGTATTAAGGACGGTGATCCCGTGTTTGTGGTTCTTCGCTCTTCCGGAATGGTTGAAAACACCAATGCCGAGCAGTCTGAGGATGATGCCGATGTTGGTCGTCTAATCAATGCCAATGGAGATGGTGCGGTCTTGCAGGGTGGAGACGTCGACCCCGAGCCGGACACAGAGACGTCGGACGACGAGGGCACGCTTGAGCACAACATCGTCGCCTACTTTGACTTGGACTTTGTGTTGGACGATATGCCGTATCTCCCCCAGCACTACTTTGAGGATGACACATGCTTCACCGACGCCCACTACACCGCAGTGATCAAGGAGTTCAAAGGCCGGGTGCTGTTCAAATTCCTTGTCACCGCTTACGGAACCGAGGTGGGACACATCAAGCGCCGAGTGCATTTGATTATGAAAGACCTGTCCGAAGGGGGTGATGTCCCGTCCGAAGACGACTTCGTTCTTATGGCTTGGGGGATTACGCTTCAAGATGAGACGGTGGTGGGAACCATAGTTGGAAACGAACTTGAATTCACTCTTGTCCTTCGCATCCGCGGCGGTGGGATCAACCAGCCGAACATCAAGAAGAAGATCGCCAAGGTGACCGAAAAGAAAACCATGGTGGAACGCGACGCCAAGGTTTTCGCCGAGAAGCTCATCCGCTCTGCTTCTGTGGACGTGAAGCCCTTGTTGCAGGAGTGCCAAAGCAAGGGAGGAAAGCTGTACGAACAAGCAGAAGCCGGGAATGTGTCAGATGCGCTTAAGAGTCTCATTCGCCAAGTGCCCCGTGACCAGTTGGACGACCTCTTCATCTTCAATACTTCAAAGCCCGAGCTCAAGTTGCAACAGCTTTCCGAGAAGCTCTACGGACACAA